AATTTCTTTAGTTCATGCGTAATTAAGATGAATAACAAAGTGTGTAATATCTTACAAGTTATCTACCTCACTCCGGAGCACTAAATGTACCCCTCTATTTCCTGTCCTGCAGCATTATACTTTCCATTATGTAAATGTAATATAAAATTATGGCAGCACAAGTAGTTAAGACATCTTGAATGTTATTTCTTTTTTTCTTTTTTAGTTGTCATTTGTTTTATTGATCTTGGACATTCTGACTGGCATAACATAAAAGCTTAAAGCAGTTTTGATTTGCATTCCCTGATGGATAAGGATGCTGAATATTTCTTTAAGTATTTCTCAGCCATTGAATGTTATTTCTTAAGTACCACATTGAATATGTTCTCTACTAGATCTCATTTCATTAATGAGAATTTCCATGTGCTACGTGATTATTATCCTATTTTAAAATCTAAGATTTACTTTTTCTCCTATTGTCACTCAGACTGTAAACAAATACAATCTAAACACAGTTTTGCCCCTCATATTGGAAGTTATTTACATCCTAATCAAGAAGGCATTCACTCTAGCCTGGTGATGAATTCAGTCCAGGAAAAGGCAAGTGCCTATGGTATGCCTATTTGATTGTGTAGATGCTAATGAGCTTAAGAGGAAAAGAGAGTGTGAGAGTTTGTGTGGACTGACTGAAAGAAGTAAAGAGACCAAACGACTTGAACAACAATTTATTTCTCAGAGTTTTGGAGCTCTGTCATCCAGCTGCATCCACAGACCAAGTTCTGAATTCAGAGAATGAAAACAGTGAAACAAAATCTTGACACCTGTGCTTGGATCAGAAGGCAAAAAAAAAAAAATCTCAAAACTATAGAACTGCATAAAGTAATCCATAAATTTGTCTTATTGTTGACTGAGTGTGAGAAAGTTTGAACACTGAGGTTATAAAAACGTTGAGATACACTGAAGACAGAGGTAGATCTGGGTGTACATAATAATGAAAACAGGAAACACAGGGGCGATGTCACAGAGTGATATCAACTGCTGAATGCAATAGAGTTTGAAAATCATTTTTTAATGTGTGAAATAACTAATTCAAACAAGACACAACCAAAGAAATCAGATTTACTGTGTGAGCAGGATTTCAAAGCCTGGCATAGCATCTGCAGGATGCTTAATTGTGGAAAGGGAACAAGATGGTGATACTAATTGTGTCTTTCTTTCCTAAATATGTACCCTTCTATTCCTTTGAAAAACCATGCAGTGCCCTTTGGCATATCTCATTGGCTCTTGGGAGCCCCTCATCTTTGTCTTTTTCAGTGTTGTTCTTTAAACTTCAGATTAAGTGGGTAACTGTAGCCAACATAGTCAACAATAACTTACTGTGTATTTCAAAGTATCTTTCTGTTTTCAACACAAAGAAACTATATATACTTGAGGTCATGGATATGCCAATTGATACTATTTTGCTATTGTACATAAATTGAACTATCAACATTGTAGCCCATAAAGATTGTAAAGCCAGATGACCGAAGGGGTCTCACCCTCTCTGGGGGATTCTTGGTAGTTAGTGGATTTAAAGAGGGCTCCAGCCATCGATAAATTTCTCCTATTCCAGTAATTACCTCCCATCTGTGCTCTGACAAGAAACTCTAATTAAACTCAATGGGCCACATGCAAAAACATGGAAACAAGAGGAAGATTTGTTGTGATGAAGGGTCCAGCAAGAGAAGGGTGAGAGAGCAGTACAGGAATGTTGTGGTTTGAATAAAAATGGCCCCCTTAGGCTCACATATTCAAATGTTTACTCATAGGGAGTGGCACTACTTGAGAAGGATTAGGAGGTATGGCTTGTTTGGTTAGATGGGTCTTGTGGGAGGAAGTGAGTCACTGGGGCTGGACTCTGAAGTTTCAGAAGCCCAACTTATTCCTAGTGGCTCTCTCTCTTCCTCCTCCTGCCCATGGATCTGGATGTAGAACTCTAAATTACTTAGCCAGCACCAAGTCTGCCTGTGTGTTGCTATGTTCCCTGACATGATGATAATGGACTAGACCTCTGAAACCATAAGCAAGCCCCAATTAAATCATTTCTTTTATAAGAGTTGCCATGGTCATGGTGTCTTTTCAAAGCTATACAGCACGTTAAAGACAGAGGTTGTTACCACGGAGGAATAGAGTGTTGTTGTGACAGGCCTGACCATGATGTTTGCTTGATAAATATGGAAGACCGGGACTTTGAAGGACTTTGGATTAGGAAAGCAGTTGAATGATGTAAGATGTTTTTACTGTGGGAATATGGAAGACAGTGTTCAAGGCAGTTACAGGAGCACAGCATGAGAGGTTTTAGAGGGGAAAAGTATTAGTGAGTGGTCTAGAGACTGCTCTTAGGATATTTTGGCAAAGAATGTTGCTGCTTTCTGTTCCTGTCCAAAAGAACCTGCCAAAGGCTAGATTAAAGAGATTTAGATTAACGGTGCTGGTAGAGGAGATTTCAAAATAGCCTAACATTAGCTGAGCCCTCTGGTTATTAGTGACCACTCTTGTGCAGATCTGTAAAGAAAAAGTGCAAGCTGAGCAAGGACAAACTTTAAAAAATGTACAGTTTGAGGAGAGAAGGTGTACCAGGAAGTATAATGGAGCTAAGGCCAGTGCTCAAGGACATACCAAGTTTAAAGACAACCCTGACAAAAAAATGGAATAAAGGGAGTGGTGACCTCAGGGCAAGACCCTACCCAGCTCAGATTCCATCTTGTGAAAGGAAGTAAAGAAAGCTTAAACAATGAAGGAAACCATAGAAAACAGAAAGCTGCTGAAAATGTATTTGAACATAGGGGCCAAGTTCCAATTTAGCAAGCTGGAGCAATTGGCAAATTCAATCATGTGCTTCTAGCTTTAGACTTAAGAAGGGGGTTGTGGAATATCCCTCTGTGGCTAAAGAAAGTGGTTGAGGCCAGGCATGTATCAGAGATATCTGTGCAGGAGGCCCAGAGAAGTCACTGCATAAAGCTGTGGTGCTGGAGCCAGAAGCTCATTGAAGACCCCAAGATGTTGCAGGTGCCAGAACTATGGGAAACTGCAGACTGGGTGTGGAACCAGCCCAAGAAAGGGAAGCCGCAGTCAACAAAGTTAAAAAGAGCCAGGTGATAGTGGATCACAGCTTTAATCCCAGCACTTGAGAGGCAGAGGCAGGCAGATCTCTGAGTTTGTGGTCAACCTGGTGTTCAGGACAGCCTGGAACTTCACAGAAAAATCCTGTTTCCAACAACAACAAAAGCTAAAAGGAGTTGGAAATTCAAAGAGTACTTTGACATCTCATGGATATAGAGAATTTGGAGTTTGCCTTGATGGTTTCCAGTCTCGCTTTGATCCATTGTTTCCTCACTGTGCCCCTTCTCTCTCCTTTTGGAAAGCTAATGTGTATCGTGTGCTGTTGTGTGCTGAAAGTATGCGATCTGTTTTAAGAAGGGACCACGGCTCACGTATCTAAATGCTTAGTCATCAGGGAGTGGCATTACTTGAGGAGAATTAGGAGTGGTGACTTGTTGCAATAAGACAGGGAGGATGATTAATATTTATTAGATAAATGTATGAACCTGCTGAGAAGTTAAAAATAATAGTTAGGAAAGCCCTGTACTATTTGGGCTTCTCGGATCCATTTCTTTTGGCTTCAGCAATGGAGAGGCACCAGCTGGAGAACAAAGTAAAGAAGCCGGCAGTTGTGACGGCCTGTATTTACCACTTCTCCACCATGCTGCGGCAATGTCCGGGTAGCCTCCTCTCATAGCCACGCTTCTTACTGGGCTTTGGGTAAAGCCTACCCCCTTGCCCTGCCCCTTCAGGGAAGGACTTCTGTGANTCTCTCTCTCTCTCTCTGTCCCCCCTTCACTCTTCCTCCTTCATAACCCCCAGAATAAACATTCAACCTCACCCTGCATGTCGTGTCTATCCATGTTTCTGTCTTCTGCCCGCCCGCCATGTGTCTCCCTGCCTGGGACCAGCCATTGCTCAGCGACCAGCAGCCATCTCTGCCTGGGGCCCACTGCCTGCTACCACATGGCCCACCACCACCATTTGGGACCTACAGTATTTCTGCTGCCTACTGCCGCTGGGGATCTTGCAGCATTTTTTAAAAAAGAACAACATTTTGGTGCTGTGACTCAGATGATTCGCCAGCCCCAGACTTCCACCCGGGGCTCGAGTTCCGGCTTTAGGTGCTGTCTGGGACTCTGAACTCCTTCCTGGGGCAGAATCAGGACTTGAGGACCTTCTCTACAACGACCCACGTGTTCCATCTGCTGCAGCTCCTCCAAACAACAAATCAACTAATTGTGAGTGTCCCCATCTCAGCCAGCTTAATCATCTCTTTTAACCCAAGGGATTGAGCGTTGAGCTCCCGGCAACCCTTCACGGCTTTTAGGGATGGGGGGGACCTCCAACCACGGGCTTTCAGGGCCTCGGTTGTTCCCTTCACTGGCATTCAATTTGGCTTGTCTCCTGAGCTAAGCCTGTGCCTGAGAGGGCTGATGTTAGCCAGGCCCTCAGCTCACCCGAGCCTGGAGGCCCGGGGTCTCCAGTTCTCCCTCTTTTTCTTTTTTCATTTCTTTTCTTCCTTCTTTTTGTCGTAACTGCTGCTACGGTGTAGCACGCCGCTACGGTGCGGCCTGACCTTGGCTGAATCCCTCCTGCTCGGAGGCTCGAGTCGATTCAGCCAGGTTATAACACCCCCCATGGAATCGGACGCCTTTTCATAGGGCCTGCGGGTGTTCGTGCCATCTGCATCTCGCCTTAACGTTCTCGTTGTAGGCTTGAGGTGCCACAGTTTTTGCAGGTGTTTGCACGGTCCTGACCATGGGAGCCAAGCCATCCAGACCTATACTTTAATGCCTCACACTTATCAGTTTTTGTCCAAAATGGCCCCAACTACCTTAAAAAAATTTTAAATGGCCAGTTTTTTGGGTTCCAGCCTGTTGCCCCTCCCCTCTGCAGCTTTTGATATGACATGGCGGCTCACCAACAGAGCAGACAACATGTGGCGGTCACCATTTTGGCTGAGGGTCAGATGGGTCAGGTGACTTTTTTGCCATCTTGGCTGAAGGCCAGATGGGTCAGGTGACCTTTTCACCATCTTGGCTGAGAGCCAGGTCATGTGACCACACTGTCCTGGTTTTACCCTACCTTCTCACCCGGTTTTCACTAAAATCCTCCTGTTAACTCTGTTACATGTGTTTTGAGCAATGGCATGTCTCTGATAGGGCCTGTCAGAGGCGTCCACGTTGCCTAATTCTTGTTCACTCTCTGTATGTATAATAATTGTTTATTACATCTCATTTCAGACTACAAAACATGAGTCTTGTATTTTAAACTGGTATGTACCTTTAAGCCTCTTAAGCTGTTCTCTACCATTGTCAGTTTTGCCACTAACCTTATATTTCAAGCAGCTTTTCCCTCTATCTTTTTACAAATGTAAATCTTACCTGTTGAGAACCAATGTGGTCAAGCTCAGACCCAACTTTCCAAACAAATTCTATACTATAGTTATTCCTGATAAACAGCCCTCAACTGCTCAGAGATCTGGGGAATGTGATATTTACGTATTTAATTATTAAAAACTTTTCACAACAACAAAAAGAGACAGGTTGGCTCCTAGCAGCAGCTCTCTGCTCCCTCCAAAGAAGACAGAAGACAAATGGACACACAAAACAACGTCCTTCTGCGGTTCGCTTTGACTGCCGAGTGCTGACCATTGGACAAACCTGCCTTTCGTCTAAAGTAAAGACCTCTCTAGATGTGGACGGAATCACTGGAATCGACAGCCTAGCTGCTCAGGTCAAGGTAGGCCTGTCTTCCTACAGATTTCTTAGCCCACAGATCTTCTGGAGCCTGGCAGGCCCTGCGCTAAACAGCAAAGCTCAAGTGCAACCTTCACCAACCATGGGGGATACAAAAAGAGTAGCTCTTGGTGCCAACCAAGTAAGTTCTCTGTCATTTTTTTAATCAGTAACTCAAGTAAAATCTTATCCTTCTCAAAGATCTCTGACAGCTTGACAGCTGAGAGGTTTCACCAGGTTGAGGTTTTGCAAGGTGACCTCACCAAACAAATTTCAAACCAAATTTATCTCTTATGCTACAGTCATTATATGTCTAAAACTTCTGTTTTCACAAACCCAAGGAGTTCTCGTGAGTTCCAGGAAGCCGAATTAAAGAATCCACCTTAAACAGGTCAGATACATCCCCCTCGATTCCCTGGTCCTAAAATTTTTTTTTTACCTTAATTTAACTTTGTTCTTTGTTCTGCCAATACCTTAGGGACACCAGACATCCCCATGCCACAGACATCGGTCAGAAGCAAAGAGACCAGCTATGCCAGGATGTTCCCAGCACACAGCCTTCTTCAGGTCACCTCCCCCCCAAAGACGACGCCCACAAATCAGCAGGAAGCAGTTTTGAGAATTCGCCGCCCCAATTCCTTCAAACTGTGGTATCTAATCTCCTGCTTTTTATTATAAGGAAGACCTGGGAATATTATGGTTTTGGTCCCTTTAAGAGACAAGCCACGCCCACTCCCTCCCCCATCTGCTGAGGCAGACTGATCTTCAGCTTCTGGCCTGAGTTCGCTCCCTTTTCCATCTTCCTCTCAGAGAGGCAGCTTCGCTTCTGCCTCTCTTCCCACTTCTCTGTCTCTCTCTCCTCTTCTCCTCTCTCTCTCTGTTTCTCTCTCTCTCCCTCTCTCTCTGTCCCCCCTTCACCCTTCCTCCTCCATAACCCCTTGAATAAACATTCAACCTCACCCTGCATGTCATGTTTATCCATGTTTCTGTCTTCTGCCCGCCCGCCATGTGTCTCCCTGCCTGGGACCAGCCACTGCTCGGGGACCAGCAGCCGTCTCTGCCTGGGGCCCACTGCCTGCTGCCACATGGCCCGCCATCACCGCTCTGGGACCAGCAGCCATTTCTGCCTGGGACTGGCTGGTCCCAGAGCCCGCTGCCTGCCACCACATGGCCCGCCATCGCCATTTGGGACCTACAGCATTTCTGCTGCCTACTGCCGCGGGGATCTTGCAGCATTTTTTAAAAAGAACTACACTGATGGCATCCTTCCTCAGGCTGGTGTTCCAGACTGGAAAGGAGAAGTACACTGAGCCCCAGCACGCACCACTCCATTTCCTGAATGTGTGTGCACTGTGACCGGCTGCCTCAAGCCTGCTGCCATGATGTCCCTAGAAGACGATAGCAGCCCTTCCAAGCAGACTGCTTGGTGTTTTTTGTCATAACAACGAGAAGAGTCACCAAGACAAAGTCCATGGCTGTGAATCCTCATGCTGGGTTTTTCCTCAATGACCTTAGCCCTGCTCATGTGTTTGTGGTCAGACTTCAAGAATTTTAACCCCCTTGAGTGTGTCATTTGATTTTCTGCAAGGACACCAACTATGCATATAAATAGATGTACAAACTCAACAGGTTTCCCACACACCAGCCACGACTAACAAGCAGTACAGAATGATGACTCAGATGCTAGAGCCAATCTTCCCATTGCGTAGGTATGTGCAATTGTATAATATGTGTGTTTATTTATATGCTCCTATTTTCTCTTGTTCACTAGGTTTCTGTATTATATTCCTTAGTAATATTCTAACAAGACTTAGTGGGAAATACAAATTAGTACAAGACAGAAAGATTAGAAGTGACTAAAGTGTGCTGCATAACAAAATCCTGAAAAACTAAATATTATAAAGAATAAATTTTAAAATTAATTTATAATGAAATGTCCATAAAATCTCATTAGATTTCAGAGTACTTCTGGAGTTGCTAGTGATTTTAAGGTTCTTTTGAAGATTAAACAAGTCAGAACAGCTAATAAAAACTGAAGTTCATAAATAAGGATAGCTAATAAAATTTTGCAAATGAGTTTCTGTATGTGGGTATTTCACACATTAGGTATTTAACAAAACAGTGTGGTATTAGCCTAAGGATTTAGAGGGGAATAGGACAAAATAACCTCTGAAGGTGTTCTGTGTTTTTTGTATCTTCTGTGTATGTTTGGTTTGAATTTAAAAAAAAAAAAGTGACTGCAAGCAACTGGGTGAAAGAGTCAATAGATGTTTTAGGGATGATTGAATGTACATTGAAAAAAATCTATATATTAAAATTATTTTCATATATATTCAAATCTAAATCTGACCAAGGCTACTAAAACAGGAAGAAAAGTATATACTTCTTATGTGGAGACAGGGCATGATATTTGAACTAAAAGGAATGGAAAATACTATTAAAGGAAAACACATTTAAATGCACAGAATTGACTTTATTATTATTTATCTTGTGTTACATAATAAAGAAATTTAAAAGGCAAGTAGGAAATGTTGCAGAATATTTTTAGCCTCATAGTTCATAACCTACTATGTAAAAACATCATACGTATTCATACACAAATAATGAAAATGAATAGTCCAGTCTAGAAATCTACCCAAAAGTCAGCAGCATAAAGTAAATTTAAGTATGTTACTCTTTATCTTGAAAAGGTAGAGATAATCCAAACAGTATTGAAGTGTGGTCATAGAAGCTGCTCCCTTTATACTACCCTGGGTTGGTGTTTAAGTTGGATTAATTTTTCTTACAGGTCTTTAGACAGAGTCTATCCCTGGACATAAGGGTTTACTAGCAGTCTAATTTGCACAAACACATGAAGGCAGCTAAGGTTCTTAGAGCAGTCCGGCTGAAGTCACTAGGGCAAATTCCTGGGCAGTCACCACTGATCTCAGATGCCTTTACCTGCCTCAGGATAGTTCTGAGGAGCTTTGCGTTTATGTGTCTTGCTCACAAGCTCAAGAGTTCATTTTCCACTGTTTGGCTTCTGATAGGATCTGACTAGGCTTAATTACATTATTTTTAATTACTGCATTAGACTTCAGAGAGCCAAACTCCCACTGTAGGAAGAGAAAATGGGTGTATTTCATTAATGGGCAGATTAAACAGAACAGGAATCATGATTTTCAAGAACATAGCCAAAAAATTTATTTTGTTAAGCAGTAAAGTAATGTAGTTGCAGACTCAAACTCCAAATGGATCACTTAACAAGGCCCATCACACGGACAACACAGCTCTAAGACCCACACTGGGGATACTCCATCTCTAGGGCCCATACTGTAGATAACCTATGTTAGGACCCAAGCTAAGGATAACCCATCTCTAGGGCCCACACTGGGGATAACCCGTCACTAGAACCCACACTAGGAATAACTCATTTCTCAAGCCCATGCTAAGGATAACCCATCTCTAGGACCCATGCTGGGGACAGCCCATCTCTAGGACCCATGCTGGGGATAACCCATAGCTAGGACCCACACTAAGGACAGCCTGTAACTGGAGGTTTCTTTCCTGCTCCCTAGTTCTCAAATAACCACTCTGAGGCTTAATATTAATTACAAACTGCTTAGCCTATCAGCTCAGGCTTATTATTAACTAGCACTTATAACGTGAATGGACCCATTTCTATTAATTTGTATATTGCCATGTGCCCCATGGGCTGCTGGTAATGCTCTGCCATCTTATTCCTTTGCAACTGCTGGCATCTCTCTGACTCCACCTTCTTTCCCCTGTGTTCAGTCTGGCTTTTCCACATAGTGATATTCTGCCCTGCTCTAGGCCAAACCAGCTTCTTTATTAACCAATGGTGATAAAACATTCACAGCATACAGAAGGGTGCTCCCATATCAATAATCCATTTCGTGGGCCCTGTCTTGTTTAGAGGATGAGGGAGCAGTAACTAGGAAAACACACTTCGGTGTTGTTAGCACAACTGTGGGAGTAAGATATGGAAGTGAAGGAAGCCTTTCTGGTCAGCCATGGTGCCCACCTTTCTAACAATGCCCCACAGTTCTGTTGTTCTCTACATCAGGCTCCTGGGATAGCCAATCACTTACCAAAGGCAGGCTTGGTGTCTTTGTAAGAGACCCCAGGAAGCTCTGTTTCCCCTTCCTCTAGGTGAGGCTGGGAAGATAGCATCAATGGTCAAGGAAGAGGAAGGTAACCTTTTTAAAACATTGTTTTCCTTTTGTTGTTGTAGACCACTATCGAGTCACCTTGAGAAGGAGGGGATTTATTTCAGCATCGAGATGAGATTAGAGTGAATCCCCGAGGGAAGCCATGGCAGCAGCTGAAGCACAGACCATAGAGGGATGCTGCTCACTGGCCAGGTAGGTGTGAGAATGGAAGCCTCACATCTCCCCATGAATATTTGCAAAGAACTTTGAGTGTGCTTGGTTTGTTGGACATTTAAGCAACGTCCTCGAATCTCACTGTCCGTTTTGAAAACTATTTTAGTTTTGTTTTAGAGTATGTGTATCTGTATGTGTCCATATGTGCATTTGTGCATATGAATGCAATGTCCAGTGAGAGCTGCAGTTACAGGCACTTGTGAGCTAACTGATGGGGGATGCAGGTGCTGGGAATATAACTGAGGTTCTCTCTAGAGGCAGCTCATGATTTAAACTGCTGATCCTTCAGTGCCTCACTGCACATAAAAACAGCTATAGAATGGACATTTTTGATCTTCATGTCCAACTTCTGAATCTGTCCTAGTAGGTCTGAGGCAGCCATTTGTCTGAGCTATGGATTTGCTCAGTGACTTCCGGCAACCCAAACAGCACCGCTTACTTGGTGAGGCACTACAGATATTCCTTTCTTCTCCCAGATGCATTTGCTTCCCTCCTGCCTGCCTCCCCTTTTTCTTTGTTATAAATTTCACTGAACAAGTCACAGAAGGGTAGCGGGGGAGCTGAAGCATGCCATTCCCACACAAGGTTTCTCGAGTTAATTTGAGATGACTAGGAAGTAGCTATCTGGAAATGCTTTACAGAGCAGAGGCTCACATCGGGAGCATGTTTAAAGCTGTACCTGGACCCAGAGTCTCAGAAGATTCCTGGAATACTTAAGAAAACATTTACAGGTTTGGAGACAAGGAGGAGCCTGAGTGTGGTATTACTAGTGTCTGTAAATTGCTATGGCATACAGCCTCCCCTGTGGTATTGATAGCACTGGGCTTAGTCATTAAAATGTCAACTTTAGGTCCTGGCTGGAGCATCTGCCAGCTTCTATCTTTGGTACTTTTGGAAGACTACAACAGTATTTAATGAACAACTGATAGGAGCTTAAAGTCAACTATGACATAGATAATGAGGAGATTCAAGCGCAACATGGAAAACAAGTGAGAGCCCTTAGCTTCCAGGTTGGCTATGTCCTTTCTATGAGACTGCAGAACTGCTCTGGAGAACTAGGCATATTATGGTTTCTTTTTTTTCTTTTTTCTCATACTACTGCTTTGAATTTCTTTGAATTGAAAGTAACAACCCATCTCGTCAGCAGAGTGCTGTGGTCTTCATGAGATATCAGGAACCTGATGATAACTGAATGGGGACAGCTCACTGGAGCCTCCTTGATGAGAGGCCAGCAAAAGGTGAAGACTACCCAGGGCCTTTCCACTACTTCTCTCTGGTGGGATTGCTGTCATTTCTCCAAGCGTCGGTCCGAACAGTGCACAGAATAGAATCTGTCTGTCTCTGCTCCCAGCTGGGTGTACCTACCACCATTTCACATGCTGCCTTCTGTAGGCAAGCGCCTCCTTGAATGTGTGTGCACCTGTGTGAACGTGGGCGTGGAAGTCAGAAGTCAATGTCAAGTGTTTTTCCTCTATCATCTTTTTTTTTTTTTTCTTTCTGTGCCAGGGTCTTTTACTGAAGCTGAAACACTGATTCTGAAGACCAACAGACTCTTGTTTCTTCCTCCCCAGCACTGGATTTACAGGTGTGTGTCAGCACACTCCCAGCTTCCAGTGCAGACTCTGGGGATCTAAATTCAGACCTTCAGGCTTGCTCAGCAGGCGCATTGCTAACCAAGCTGTCACCCCACCCTTTGAGGATTTTATCTGTTAAAGCAGAACAGATGGGAGAGGCTGATGACCAATTCTTCTGGAATGAGCTCTTATAGTTGATGAAGACGTGAGATCAGTACTAATTTTTTTCACTCTTGGTTGGGCACTTTTGAGGCATGTTTACAAAAATAACCAATATCACCCAGCAAGATTGAGTCCCAGGAGCCGACAGGGACCATAGGCTCAGAACTGAACCCCGTATTTGGTTTCTGTATTTCCATGACTAAATTTCTCCACCTTCTCCTGCTGCTTCCTGGGGTACTTTTCAAAAACAGCCCGTCTCAACTGTGTCTCATGGTGTATGTGGGGTGCATGTAGCCTGCCTCCCTGTGTCTCATGGTCTACTTTAGAGCTGGGGTGTGTGTGTGTGTGTGTGTGTGTGTATGTGCATCTGCTCTGGGTAAACTGGAGTATTAAAATATTTCCTTAGGATGAAGATTAAACTTGAGATGACAAATTTGACAGAAATGAACAAGAAAATGCAAATGAAAGTATGGTGCTCTTTGAGACATGAGAAAAACTCATGACCAGAATTGTCCTACATGTAGAGCAGGTGGGTCTCAACCTCTTGCTTGAAATGTGACATAACAGATAATACCAACCTCATACAGTGAATACATTTTCTTTACATGTGCACTCAAAATTAAACTTATATTAATTACAGCAAGAGACTGATTTAGGTACAGTAAGAGATTTAAAACAAAATAAATACAGAATGAACTGTAGAGCTAGTGAGACAGATAGCTCAGCAGGTCAAGGCACTCGACTCCATGCTTGTTGGTTAAGTCTAACTCAGGGGACCCGCATGGTGGAATCACAGAGCTAACACCCCCAAAATGTCCTCTGAACTCCACATGCATGATTTTATAATACAATAAATAAATATAATAATATTAAAATATATGGTAATACTTTTTATTTTAGAGCCCTTATTAAACAAAAGAAAAAAACTCAAGCATGTAGTGTCAAGTATCATGATGCTCAGCCTGATAAGTGAAGCAGCTGCTGAATGACCTTAAGGAACGCAGCATATACAGTTTGGGTGTGACCCCGCAAGCATGGGTAGAGAAGGAGAGCAGGAACTCATTACACTACTCAGAAGTGTGTGATTTAAAACTTAGAAATTGCTTACTTCTGGAATTTTTTATTTAATATATTTGGATGGTAGTTGAGAGAAAACAAAAACAAAAATAAGGGGTGTTCTGATCTGGATGTGAAGTGTCTCCCACAGGCTCAGATGTTTGAACATTTTGTCCTTGCTGGTGCACTCTTCTGACAGGTGTGCAAGTCTGGGGTGGTGGAGCCTAGCTTGAGGAAGTGTGTTGTTAGAGGAGTGTGGGGTGTGGGGTGATGGGCTGGAGGTTGTAGAAAGGCCTGCCTCTGGTCTCTGTTTCATGAGCTGACAATATGTGAGCTAGCAGTCTCAAGTACCTGCCGCCACAGTCACAGTTGCTCCCACTTCTGCGCCTTCCGAGTCACAATGGACTCTGCCCTCAAACTGTGGGTTAAATTGCATCCTTCCTCCCTTATACATGACTGCTTCTTGTCATGTATTAATTGAGAAAAGTATCCCATACAAGTAACTAGCCCAGAACCACTGTTTGGTACCCAAGGAGTAAGCACCGCCATCTCTGACATTTTTACGCCAATTATCCAGTTCGGTTTTTGGTACTGAATTAATGCTAATCCTCACCATTAGAGCAATGCTCCGTGCAGCTAGAGGCTCATTCGCTAATCACCAGAATGCTTGTACAGAGATAAGTGCACTGTAGAGTGGAATATAAGTTTGCTGGCTGTGTGGCTTAGTGTGCTCTGGGTAAATGAATCTCTTCATGCTTTTGCTGTAGTACGGAAGTTCACGGGAAAACACAAAGTTGATACTTTAAGTCCTAAGGCTTACGTTTCCTTAGGCAGATGGAGGATGAAGAACTATTTTGAAATCCTTCTCAAGTATACATTTTTTAAACTTTAAATTATTTTCTTATATTTTTTAAAATTGTTCTCTCATATATTGCATTGTGGCTATGGTTTCCCCTCCCTCCTCTCCTGCCAGTCCCTCCCCACCACATCTCTTCTTCTCCAGATCCACTACTCCTCCTTTCCCTTCAGGAGGCCATTCAAGGATATCCAGCAAACGTGGCATGCCAAGTTACAATAAAAACTAGGACCTCCCCTCTTATTAAGGGTGGATGAGGCAACCCAGTAGGAGGAAAAGGGTCCCAAAGGCAGGCAAAAGAGTCAGAGACAGACGCTGCTCCAACTGTTAGGAGTCCTATAGGAACACCAAGCTACAAAACCATAACATATATGCAGAGGACATAGGTCAGGTCCATACAGGCTCCCTGACTGTCAGTTGAATCTCTGTGAACCCCTCTGAGCCCTGGTTAGTTGATTCTGTGGGCTGTTTTGTCATGGTGACTTGACCCCTTTGGCTCCTTCCTCACCCTCTGAGCTCTACCTAATGTTTGGCTGTGGATCTCTGCATCTGTTTCTAGATGTTGTTGGATGAAACCTCTCTGATGATGATTATGCTAGGCTCCGGTCGACAAGTATAGAAGAGAATCATTAGAAACCATTTCATTATTCTTCCCATTATTGTTTTGGTTCTATCCTTTGTCCCTGGGATACTCAGACGCCCTCCAGGAGTATTAGGCATGGGCTCCCTCTTGCAGTATAGGTCTCAATTTGGACCAAACATTGGTTGGTTGCTCCTGTAAGTTCTGTGCCACCTTTACCCCAGCACATCTTGAAGGCAAGACTAATTGTAGGTTGAAGGTTTTGTGGCTGGGTTGGTGTCCCAGCCCCTCAACTGGAAGCCTTGCTTAGTTCCATATCCTACAGGACTAGGAGTCTTCACTAAGGTCACCCTTATGGATTCCTGGAAATTTCCATTGCAATAGGTTTCTACCTCACCTCCGAAATACCCCAGTCGTCTCTCCTAGTACTCTCTTCCCCCTCCCTCACCTAATCCATCCAATTCCTATGCCCACCTACCCTCAGTCTACCCACTAAATCTACTTCCACTTTCCAGGGAGATCCATATGTCCCCCCACTTGGACCCTCCTTGTTACTTGGCCTCTCTTGGTCTGTGGATTGTAGCATGATTCTCTTTTACTCTATAGGTTATGTCCACTTATAAGTGAGTACATACCATATTTGTCTTTTTGGATCTGGGTACCTCATTCAGGGTGACTTTTTTTTTCTTGTTCCATCTATTTGCATGAAATTTCACGATGTTATTTTAACATCTGAGTAATGCTTCATGTGTAAATGTGTAAATTTTCTTTATTCATTCTTCAGTTGAGGGACCTCTAGGCTGTTTCCAGTTTCTGGCTAATATGAATGTTGCTATGGGCATAGGTGAGCAAGTGTCTTTGTGGTAACTCAAGTCCAAATGGATCAAAGACCTCAACATAAAACCAGACACACTGAACTTGACAAACAAGAAAGTAGGGAATAGCCTTGAATGCAGACAACTTCCTTAACAGAACACTAATAGAGCAGGCACTAAGACCGACAATTAATAAGTGGGACATCATGAAACGGAGAAGCTTCTGTAAGGCAAAGGACACTGTCAACAGGACAAAACAGCAACCTACAGAAATGGAAAAGATTTTCCACAACCCCACTTCTGACAGAGGGATAATATCCAAAATATATAAAGAATTTAAGAAACTAGACATCAACAAACCAAATGATCCAATTAAAAATGGGATAAAAAAATGGAGTACATATCTAAATAGAAAAGTCTCAACAGAGGAATTTCTCAAATGGCTGAGAAGCACTATAAGGAATAACTTTTTAACCATCATGGAAATGCAAATCAAAATGGCATTGAGATTCCATCTTACACCTGTCAGAATGGTTAATATCAAAAATACAAGTGACAATTCATGCTGGTGGGGATGTGGGGCCAGGGAAACACTCCTCCATTGCTAGTGGGAGCACAAACTTGTATAGCCATATGGAAATCAATATAGCAGCTCCTCAGAAAACTGGAAATCAATCTATCAAGACCAACAAAGTCACAAAACAAGTTAGAGAGAAATTATGAGAGAATTTCTCCTGTGAATTTTTGTCAAACTTTAGGAAATGGGATAGTTCCAGATAGTTATGGATAGTTCTGGACACCATTTTAATGATGCACAGAAGAACTGCCAGTGATGCTGTTTCAAGTCCCTAGTACCTCCAGGCACAACACTGAGGGGACCCTAGAGGAGACCCATAGAAGGTGACCCACAGGTATCTTCAAAACCCATAGCACATTCAAAACGCCTCATTCGCTCTAGTGAACTCCACCTCCTGTCACCTATCAGAGTTCCATTTCTTCTGTCCCTCTTTGCAACGCAGCTCAATATCCCACTGTGCAGCTTGAGAAGAACTAGGGGACCAAAGGCTTCCCATGTCCTAAATAGTCATTGAGGGAGTTGCTTCTTTTTATATTAGCTGAACTCAGAAACAATATACCTAGAAAATTTTGATGGGTGTGGAAAGGCTGTGAAATAGGAAGGCTTTTAGGCCAATCTGGTAAAGTAAGCCCATTGAGAGACTCTACTATGGAGACTGCCTGATGCCCAGATGTGCACATGCCCAGTCTCACCAGAGAGTACCTGATCTCAATTCACAATACAAATTATACCTCTACCATCCGTAGAACGTTCCCATCACTTGATCTGTGCAGATACTTGACAACATCCTGAAATGTTCCCAATTTGGCAGTGAGAACATTACTCCCTAAACGTTACTTTATGTTTTCTATTCTTTTTGCAAGGCTGGAGTGTAGTGTTTGTTTGTTTAGTAAATGTGTGCTTATATATGTGGACTGAGTTTCTGTGCTGTGAATTGCCCTTTGTATCTTTCTCCCATTTCTGATGTTTATAAAATTAAAATTTGAGGATTGAAATTGAAAGACCCAGCTAAACCGCGCCTGGGAGTATACCCAAACTGGATGCATTCTAAAGGAGAAAGTCTTGATAAAGTACTGAGGTAATACATGGGCTGGGAGGATGGTTCAGCAGGTAAAGCACATTTGCTACAATCATGAGACTGGAGTTGAGACTTCCAGAATCCATATAACTCCTAGGTGGGTATGGTGGTCACCTGAAATCCCAGTGCACAGCAGGCAGAGATGGGGTCCCAGAACAAGCTGACAGCCAGAGCAGCAGCTGTGAGTTCAACTGAGAGAACCCATTCCAAAGCGTAAAGATGGATGAAGACACCTGACACCGACCTCTGGCTTCC